GAAATTCTTAGACTTACTTGGCAAGCTAAACATGACTGACATCCATGCTTAGCTTGAGGAGGAGTGTTGGTTCAATTGGTTTAGTGTTTATGTTAGTCTTATTTATGTTTTAAGTTCTTAATTATTGGGCCTTAGTTATCGGGCCTAAACTTCTTCTTCTTTTTCTTCTAAATTCTAAAGAACTTCAATACTCAAATCCAATTCAATCCAATTATGACTTGACAGATATCCAAGTCCAACTTGAATGAGTCAGATTTGAATTCAAATTAGATTAAGTCCAATTTTTTGCAGTCCTAAGCTGGGATTCAGACTGTAAGGATTCCATGTTAGCCATCTACTCCAGGTCCATAGATCATGAGGATCTACAAGGACTAAGATGCTATCCTGTTACAAGCCTTGTGGCTGGGAAGATCACTCAATATTATAGATCACTGAAGGTGGAAGAGGGCTCTAAAGTGGTAGGGGTTTGCTCTATACAAAAATCATGGCAAAATCAGAGCATAACAAGGGAGATAAAAACCATGGCAAAAGGAATCAAATATTAGCTTTTCTTCAACCAATAGATCAGCAAACAATGTAGCTGATGCCTTATCTAAACAAGGGATTAGAGGGGATCAGCTATTTTGGGGGCAATTATTGAAGGATGTAATGTACATAGATAATGCTAGCCTATAAATGTGAATTGTCTGGCATACTTTAACATATTTCATTATTTTCTGATATCTAATAAAAGTTCACAGTTACTAATAGTAGAAAGGTTTGGATAACCTGTTTTGATATAAAAACTGTAAAAGAAAGAAGAAAAGAAAGAGGAGAAAAGGTTTCAGCTAAGAAAGAGAGAGATGAGAAATAGATGAGAATGGTAGAAGCTCAGAATTAGGTTTGGTCGCCCCTTTAGAATTAGGTTTGGCCGCTCAGAATTATTTATTTATACTCATAAATAAAAGAGAGTATAAAGACAAGTATGCCCTTAGTAAGTCGGCTACTTGTGAGAATTTAAAAACACTCTTAACTTAAAGCATAAACTAATGGGCCTAAGGCCCAATAACTCTCTAACTATGCTATGCAAATAAAAAACATGTTATATCAGCCCAAAACTCAACATTGCCCCTCAAGTTGGGAATAAATGTCACACATTCCCAACTTGCGTAGATCATGTTCCAGCTTGTTTCTTGCAACTCCTTTTGTAAGAACATCAGCAAGCTGCAAGTCAGATGCAAAATATGGCAAGCAAACTTCTCCAAATGTCACATTTTCCCTTATAAAGTGTTTGTCCAATTCTATATGCTTCGTCCTATCATGCTTAACTGGGTTGTGGGCAATGTGAATTGTTGCCTGATTGTCACAACATAGCATCATATTCTTCGGCCTCAATTCCAATCTCCCCTGACAATGGATCCAGAGGAGCTCTGAAACACCATGTGCCTTCATTTCTACCTTCATTGCATCCTTCCACTCAGGGACTGACAAGGCTTCCTCCACTGTTATGGGAATGGGAATAGCAGCAATGTATGCCAAAAAGGACTTGTAAGAGAGAGACAAATGATCATAAGACAAGAACTGGGAAATACAATAAGTCATAGATGACGTACAACGATGTTTCCCTTTACGGATTGCAATGGGAAGATCAAGGTCATCTAATGGAGGTGAAGGCTCAACAATGGAAGGTATCTCATCTGTAATGGAAGATAAAGGAACTGTAGTACCTAGATCTGGACCCGTAGAAGGAACTGGAGCTGGCCTGGACTGCTGATGACCAAAATAAATCTGCCTCCACTGTCCGTGATAAACACTCAAATCTTGACACCTCTAACAACCCTCCTCACTACACTCCCCTTCAGTGATTGGGACAGATAATGGAATTTCTGATGAATGAACCCCCACCTCACTACTCTCCCCCTGAGAAGAAACCCTAGGAAAATAAGGTACATCCTCAAAGAAAGTGACATCCATAGAGACAAACCTCCTCCCAGAAGTAGGTTCATAACAGCAATATCCCTTTTGAGTTTATGCATAACTAAGGAAAATGCATTTTGAGGCTTTAGGATCAAATTTGGAACGATGAGGTCCAAGGGTCTGAACAAAGCAAGTACATCCAAAGGTCTTAAGGGGAATAGTGAACAACTCTTTATCAGGATATAAGAGGGTGAATGGAACTTTCATGTCTAGAACCCATGAAGGAACTCGGTTGATGAGATATACAGTTGTATGAATGGCATCTCCCCATAATCGTATAGGCACATTAGAGTTAAACATAATGCTTCTAGCCACCTGATATAGCTTGTGGGAAAATTGATATATCTATCTCTTACCCGACCTGATATAGCTTATGCAGTGCATGTTGTCAGCCAGTTCATGCACTCTCCCAAGATTCCTCATATGAAAGCAGTTGAAAGGATCCTTAGGTATTTGAAGACATGTCTAGGGAAAGGAATTTTGTTCAAAAAGCACAATAAAATTGAAACTGAGGCATATACTGATGCATTGGGATGGATTAATTGGAGATAGGAAGTCTACTTTCGGATATTGCACATTTGTTAGAGGGAATTTGGTTACTTGGAGAAGTAAAAAGCAAAATGTGGTTGCAAGATCAAGTGCAGAAGCTAAACATCGGGCTATGGCACATGGTGTTGTAGAACTATTGTGGCTTAGGACCCTCCTTGGTGAGCTCGGGATGATGATGGTCCTCCCAAGCTGTATTGTGACAACAAGGGTGCCATCAACGTTGCAAATAACCTAGTACAACATGATAAGACTAAGCATATTGAGATTGACCTACACTTTGTAAGAGAGAGAATTGTCTCGGGTGAACTTTGCATTCCTTATACACACTCTGATATGCAAATTGCTGATGTTTTGACAAAAGGATTGTCTTCAGTGAAGTTCCTAGGCTTACTTGGCAAGCTAAACATGACTGGCATCCATACTTAGCTTGAGGGGGAGTGTTGGATCAAGTGGTTAAGTGTTGGTGGGCTTATTTATCTTTTATGTTCCAGTTCTATAGTTTGTTATGGGCCTTTAGTTATTGGGCCTAAACCTGTTTTATTTTATTATGTCTAGGTGTCACATCACTAATCAGGGGCATTCTAGTCTATTCCTATAATATCTTATTGTTAATAACTTAATATATATAATAGGTTCTAGGGCTGGCTGAGAATACATTGCCGCCCATTCACAAGCTTCTTCTCTTCTCTCCTCTTCTCCTTCTTCTTCTTCTACTGCTGTACTTCAGCAAACAGACATCATCAGAGGTTGGCAGATCATTGTTGTCATCCTAATCAACTAAGGTACCAAGGAATAACCTTTGATTGCCTCCTATACATGAAGGAGTGCTTGGAACATTCATCACTGTACATCATTCTTTTTGACATCATCATGTAAGCCTTGTCTCAACTCAACTGCATGGGGTTGGCTATATGAATCCTATTCCACCATTCTATCCAGATATCATATCCATTGTAAAATCACGGGCCCTTAAATCATTTCTGGCTACTTCAATCCATGTCCTTTTTGGCCTGCCCAGCTCTTCTAGCCCCTTCAACTTGTAATAGATCATTTCTTCTTACCGGTGCTGTAGATGATCTCTGCACATGCCCAAACCATCAGTCTACTTTCCTTCATTTGATCACCTATTGGAGCTACTCTTAGTCTGCATCATTCTTTTTAACAAATTAATAAAATTCTTGCATGCTACCAATACAAAACATTTAATTTAAATCAACATGTCCAGCAGAACTTAGAACATGAAATGAATTTGATGGCACTATAATGTTACTCATTAGGAGAAAGAAAAGTTAACTGTGTAATATGATATACATGTTAATGTATCTGATTCTCTTTAAACATTGCCATGTAGCAACGAGGTCTACATAGACGTACATACCCTTTTCTTGTATGTATCATTGACAGGTGACATGTAACCTCCAATAACACAATAACCTTCTGAATTCAATGCATCTCTTGCCAACTCTAAACATGAAATAGAATTGGAAAAAAAAGGACATTAGAAATAGGTTCAAACAAAATGTTAAACCATGTATACATACACAGTTGTCTATGAAAAAGCAGATTAGATATATAGTCATTCAGAGATTCAAATAATGACAACATTGTTAGTTGTTGTCATATAAATAAATAAAAGCACACTCCTATTCAAATTCAAATACTTCTCAATTCCAATAAAAGAAAACAACATATTTCAACACAAAGAAAGGATGATTTACAGAAAAGAGGATAAGTAGTTGGTGTTTCAAAATATTAATCAGGAACACAATGCTGCCACCAATTAAAGAATAGGAAAAGGTACAAAAGAGTTCACCAAACATGCGTAGGTGCATATAAGTAGGAGGGTTGAAACTTCCAGTTGATACAAGAACAACATAAATTCGATCCCTAGTAATATGAACAAAGAAACCAAGTTAGCATGACTTGAACAAAGAAATTTCAATCATGGAGGGAAGCTGCAATGTCAAAGACCCATAATAGATATGTTGGATCAAAAATGTTATCCATTAAGGTCTGTTTGAAAGAAACTCAATTTGTCAGAGTCAGAAATCAGAATAACTAAGACGTGTAATGGTAAATTAAAGGAGAAGCCTGAAGCACCAGGATTTTTTTATAAGCAACAGCAATAAATTTCATTTCATCATTCTATTGTCTAAAAATCTGAACAATAGGGAAAGGTTAAAGGACAATCAGAAAACCTCCATAAACATTACAGCACATCCATAATTACAAAGAAAATTCCAACCTTGCTGTTCACCAAACCAATCTTTCCCTGTTTACCCCTAACTTGGCTATTACATCATCTTGTGAATTTGCTGCTCTGGGAACCCATCTGAATGAGCCCATTCAGGTTGTGTCCCATAGCTTGCACTTTTCTGAGCAGGCTTCTATATCTCCAGGGAATTTCCTCCTCATGCCTAATCTAGTTAAGGATGACTTGTTTCAGCCCTTGCAGAACTGCCAATATCTCAGCCTTCAAGGAATTACTAAACCCAATTGGCCCTCAATAAGAAGGATACTAGATATACATTATTAGTTATAAGTTATAACTCATTTCCGAGCATAGAAAGCCAATCATGGTGAAAGAGATTATATACATATTATAGAAGTATAAGTTACAAGTAGTTCTATAGAAATTAAATGTAAACTACCAAAGAAATACATATTAAAACAGCCACCCTAATTACAAAAAGAATGCTGACCCAGGATACAAAGAGGCTTTGTATTTTTCTCTACATAAGTCAAAGCAACTTGTAGCTCTTGATGTTTTTCTGAATAAATGATGTTTGATCTCATCGGGGATTCTCCACATTCTTTCTTTAAGTTTCATTAAAGAATAAAGATCAATGATTAGTTCACCCATAGCAACCAAGATAGGTTCCCCACCCAATCTGATTGGTCCATGTAGCAAAGTGGTATGTGTTGCAGGATAACCCCATCTTTTTTCTTTTGATAGATAATAATGATTTTATTAATAAGAACATAAAGGATACATATTACAAAACCCCACAAAGAGGAGTGAGGTGCCGCTTCTAAACTACATCTTTTTTTTGGTAAAACTCTAAACTATATCATAAAGCTTAGAACCGAGCCCAAAAAAGCTGATTCCAATGTACCCCTTGTTTAGCTAAAGAATCTGCCAACCCATTTTCCGATCTTCTTTCCCAATGAGCTGTGACTGATATATTTGATGTTAACCATCTGAACCTTCTCAAAGCCCCTCTATAGAACCAGGCTACAGTCTCCAGCTCTTTTAACCACCCAATAACCAATTTAGAGTTGCCTTCAATGATTAAGTGTTCCATCCCAGCTCCTTAGCAATCTCTACTCCTTTTAGAACAGCTTGGAGTTCTGCATTAACTGAATCTCCCACACCAATAGGAGCAGAATATAAAACTATGATCTGGACCTCAGCATTTTTGAATACTCCTCCAATTCCGGACAGCCCTTGGGTTACCTAGGCTGCTGCCATCAAAATTTAATTTAAAAATACCTTCTCCAGGAGGCTTCCACTCCACCAAAGGCTTAATTATAACAATGGAACTTCTAGTAATTTGCTCCCAATTCCTCCATATATCATCAAAGGAAAAAGGTTGAAACAAGTCCAGTGACTTTGCCCAACTTATGGCCTTATTTAGGATGCTTTCCCATATACTAGTCTCATCACTCTCCTTATCATTGAAGATTTTGGCATTCCTTTCCTCCCAAACAGTCCTCACCAAAGCAGCTCTCACACACCTCTACAAAACTCTACCTCTTTTCTTTGGCCACCTTAAGGTTGTCAGGTCAAAGAGATTGCAGATCTGCATTGGTTCTATCCACCTGCACCCAAAAAGATTAACAAGCTTCTTCCAGAGGCCTACAGCAAAGGGCAAGAGATGAGTAAGTGGTAACAACTTTGTTCATTTGCTTTGCAAAAGGTACATCAGTTTAGGGAGATGCAAAGACCAGGTCTTATTTTTTGCAAGACAAAAGTGTTTATTTTCCCAAGAGACACTTCCCAACAAAGGGCTCCCACTTTCGAAGGGATAGGCTTGGACCAAACCTCCTTGCTATGAAATGGCTGAGGATTAGGATTTGAGAACAGAGACAAGAAAAAAGAGGCACAAGACAAGGAACCCAAGGAATTAGGCAACCAAATGCGACTATCAAGAAAGGAGGAGTCAAAACAAATAGGTTCAATAGTTTTAAGGAGCAAGGAAACCTGGTCAAGCTCAAAAGATCTCTCCTAAAGCCCAAATTCCAATTTAGACTGAACGAAACAGAGAAGGATGTGAACCTCTGAATTGACTCATTTCTAAAACACGAAAGGGAATAAAAAGAAGGAAAAAGGTCCTTAAGGGTAGAGTTACCAACCCAAACGTTCGCCCAAAACAAAACCTTATCTCTAGTACAAGCATCATACATGATCATGTTCAAGAAAAGAAGAAGAATATTATGAATAGCCTTCCAAGGGGAGTTGATCGTAGCCCGCCAAGACACACCAGCATCTCAACTATTACCTACCACACCATGAACACTTCTTATGACTTTGGGCCAGAGTCTTTTCCTCTCCAGAGGCCACCTCCACAACCATTTACCCAGCAAAGTTGTGTTATTCTTCCTTAAATTACCTAAACCCAAACCCCTTTGTTCCTTACTTTTGCATACTAGTTCCCACCTAACCACATGATCCTTTCGTCTCCCAGCTCCCACAAGAAATCCCTCATAATTTTCTCTACCTTTAAAACATCCCTTTGGGGCATTCTAAAGACCGAGAGAAAGTAGACTAGAAGATTTTCTAAAGAAGCCTTTATTTAGGTAATACAACCTCCAAGGGAGATATAGCTTCTCTTCCAGATTGTCAACTTCTTTGTACACTTTTCTACAATCAGAATCCAAAATCTACCTTCCCTTGGATTATCTCCTAATGGCATTCTCAAGTAAGTCAAAGGCTAGCTAGAGCCTAGAGGTAGGGCAACCTAAGGATCTCCAGTCTCACAGAAGATGATCGTGTCATCTGCAAATTGCAAATGTATTACCACTGTACCCCCTCTACCTACCCTCCAACCTCTAATCAAGCCCAGTCTATCAGCTCTCAAAATAAGCCTATTAACTAAACAAATCTACTATCAAAGTAAAGAGGAAGGGAGAGAGGGGTTCCCCTGCCTCAAACCTCTAGAGGTTGGAAAGAAATCCCTAACAACTCCATTAACTATAATCGAGTAATAGCAGGTTTGCAAGCAACCTTCAATCCAACCACACCACCTCTCTCCATACCCGTAACCTTTCAAAGAATCCGACAAGAAGGACAATCTACCATATCATAAGCTTTTTTCAAATCCAATTTACACACAAAACCTTTCTCTCCCCTTCTCTTGAAGTCCTCAACACATTCATTTGCTACCAAAATTTGATCTATGATTTGTCTTCTTTGAATGAATGCTCCTTGCAACTGGCTAATTAGATTGGGTAGAACTAGTTTCAGCCTTAAGGATAAATTTTATCCAAAATCTTATAAATACTGGTCACTAGGCTGATGAGTCTAAAATCTCTCGGTTGAATTGTATCTCCCCTTTTAGGTATCAAGGACAAAAAAGTGGAGTTGACCCCATCTTTTTTCATTGATATTTTTGGAAAGGCTTCCATTTAAAAAATAAATACAGGTGCTTCTTCATGTCTCAACTCCAGAATTTGCTTCACTTGCAACCAAACCTTCCATAATCGTAGATCCCTTCCAGCTGGTAAGATCACATATCATCTCCATTTAATCAAACCACTGGCCTCCTTTTCCTTTGTCAAACTACTCTGCACTTACCCATCTTGCCCATGAAACTAATCCCCTAAAAACCCTTGAGTAGTTGCTTTCAAACTAATCCTTTTGACTGGATTTTCTTCCTTTTGTCAACAGCCAACTAAGACACCCAAATCTCTCTTTTTCTACTACTACTAAAGCAGTCCATATTGGACCGAAACCCTTTTGCAGTCATTGTTAAAGTAGTCACTTTAATTGGTATTTTTGTCCTTTTATTGCTCACTGAAACATCCATCACTCTCTTGTCTTCAACTTCCATCAGTGAGTAAAAGTAGAATTGTATATAGTATGTCAAAAAATAAAATAAAATAGTTGGACAGTTTTTTACTATTAATGGAGAGAGTTAGAGGGTCGAGATTCAATATGGATGAGCACATGAAGATGAACGAACAACTAGACAAAAAATGAGGAAGAAAGATGGTAAGCTTTTGGAAACTTGACCTTGAATATTGATGTACCTCATTTAGATGGAAATTTGAAGGATAGGAATAATGAGCAAGAGGTTGAAAACTTTTCCCATCCCTTTAACATTCCAAAGTAGGATCTCCTGCCATGTGTTTTGTGTAGATAGTGGGTTAATGACTTGTACTTTTTTTCTCAATCTAAACTGAGGAAATCACTCCACAGTCCACATATTCATGTATATTGACTGTACCTAGAGAGGCAAATATACCAAGATATATAAGAGTTGTCATTGTTTATAACATGTGTTCCCAGTAATGCTTTAAAAAAACGTAGTAATGTTATGGTGATTCCTTTTTCTTTTAGTGAGTAATCAGAAGTATTTCATTAAGCGTAACGATGTACAAAGGAAAGCCAGAAGTTCACCAAAATCATAGCATTGTGCTGAACTATATTACATCTTATGTGGTATTGGCACATAAACTTAACATATTGTCAAAGCATGTATTTGCGGCAATAACAGAATAATGCTTCAATCAATTAACATAACATTTTTGGTCACTAATCAATTAGCAGTAGCAGAGAAGAGGAAATGATAATAATCAAACCAAAAAAACAAAATAAACTCACTTGGTTACAGAATTTGGTGAGACACCTTGATCCAAAGATCCCAAAGATAATTTATCCAATGGTAATGGAATATCCATTATCCCTGGAAGAGGAAAGGGGGAATATAAATTTCTTAGAAGATGCAGGATGCAGATAATTATAGTTACTTCTTAACAAAAAGGAAGAAGAGAACTAAAAGCGCTGACCTGCTTTTCTTCTTATATATGGGTGGGTGGTGGCAAAAGATGGGCGGCAGTGGTGGTGATGGGTTTCCTATTATACGGCTACCTCATCGCTGGTGAATAAACGATGGCCTGTTGGTAGTGGGTCACTGGGATGTTCTCGTTAATGTTCATGGGAACTCATTTCACATACCTCAACTTGGATTTGATTTCAAGACCACTAAGTTCAGTGGAAAGAGATGAGAGACTTTTACCCAAAAAAAGACGACGGAACAGAGAAGCGAACTCGCGAGGATCGAACTCGTTAATGTTGCCACTTGCCGAATGCCGATGAAAATATAAAACGGAGGTAAGCTCCCAGCGAGGATCGAACTCGCGACCTTTCGCTTACGAAGCGAACGCACTACCACTATGCTATGGAAGCTTTCAATTGAACGTTAGATATATTAACTAACATGTAGAGTTTTATAATTATGCTGCCCACGCCGCCCACTTTCCTACTCTATAATAAAAAAAAAAGTACAAGGAAGAATGACCGATAACCCCAGGGTTAGAATTTACAGGCTCAAAGTACATTTGGGGTAGGTGCTCGAAATTGTTACCAATTTACAGGCGGATATGAGTGCATAGAGTGTGGTTTTTGGACCTTCTGAATGTTTATAGCTTTGCATTGGGAATCAAAAATCTACATTAGGCCTATCCATACTTTTCTGGAAAAAAATGCCTCAATTTACTATTTTTTTAGTTATAGTATGAACTAGCGCAACATTTAAAATGATGCTACAAGTTAGTTCAAAAACCAACAAAAATCTAACAACCAGTTATACATTTCAAATTATAACCCCCCCCATCATATCATCAGAGGCTTATGTGGTTGTTGCCAACATGGGGCTCTTAATTTATGTTGGATACAACACAAAAAGCCTATACTAAAATTGCCCTTAATGCTAGGTTATTTGAAAATTAAAAAAAAAAGGGGGGTTTAGTTTCTCTCCCACTCCTATCTCTAGATCTCCCTTCCACTCTCTCATTCTCATAGACGTCGCTCTTTGCTCAATGACTGTATGAAAAATGATTTTACATTCTCTTGTTCTCTCTTTCTTTATCAAACTACCGTTCTCCCTTAGGCTATGTTTGGTTCGAAGGAAAATGTAGGGAAAGGAAGGGAAATGTAGGAAAACCTTTACAAACCTTGTATAGGTTTCCTTTCCTTTCCTTACTTTTTCCTTCAAACCAAACACAACCTTAATCTCTCTCATTATGTTTTTCGGTTAATCTCTCCACCTCTCTCTCTCTCTCTCTCTCTCTCTTAGTCAATATCTCCTTCTCCCTCAATCTCTATTGTTCTCTCTCAGTTTCTCTCTCCGCTCTTTCTCTCGTTCTTTTTTTTTATTATTTTTCTTACACACTTATACAATATTAACCAGACCGTATTAAAGAACATAAGAAAGAATGGTAGAGATTTGATATGGTTCTAACTTACTCAGTCCAATTTGATAAAAATTCACAGGAAACTCTTGGTTATAAAATTTACACCAATTTGATAGGTGTTTATAACTTGATTGTACAAGTGATTGGTTGTTATATAGTCTCATTAATACATATAAGTGTGTAAGAAAAAAAAAAGAATGAGAAAGACCAAGAAAGAATGGTAGAGATTAAGAGAATGAAAAATCAACCAAGTGATAGAGAGAATGAGAAGTTGACGAAGAAATAAACTGGGAGAGATCGAGGGAGAACAATAGATTGACACACATGCAGAGAGAGAGAGAGAGAGAGAGAGAGAGAGAAAGGGGACATAAACATAGAAGTTGAAAACTATTTTTGTTTATTTTCAAATCATACAATCGTTGAATGGAGAGAGATGACTAGGAGAGTGAAAGAGTGGGAGGGAGATCGAAATATAGGAGTGGGAGAGAAACTAAGAATCCTATTTTTTATTATTTCAAATAACCCAGTATTAAGGGCAATTTCGGTATAGGCTTTTTGTTATGTCCAATATGGGTTAAAAGTCCCATATTAGCAACAAGTTAACAACCACATAAGCTTCTGATGACATGGTAGAGGTTTTCATAATTTGAAATGTAGAACTAATTGTCAGACTTTTATTGATTTCTAAATTAACGTACAGCTTAATTTTAAATATTGAATTGGCTCATACTATAATTTTCCCTTTTATCATTATAAAAGATTATAAGACTAGAGGGGCTAATTTATCTTTTCACTAAGATTCCCTGTTCACAAAATGGAGATTGTACCAATGTCATTTCGAATTTTCTATTCTTTCATATTAAAACAATTCCTCTAAATCAGGGGAAAAGTTTAAAGCAGGTTAAAACAATTCTTTCAGGTTTTGTTTTTCGATGATTCACGTGGATGACGAATCCATTTCTCTGGTAGAATGAGACCAATCCATTTATCCTGCTTGGAAATCTCTCAAGCAATAGTTCATATCATATTTCATATCCATCTGATTTCTGTATTTTTGGTAATAATATTCATTATTCACACATTAATTAGGCTTATGGAAACGATTTCTGTCTGCAAATCAGATTTATTAAAACATTAATTAAGCCAGATTCTATCACCACCACTCGAGATTGAAATTAATTATTTTCTATACCAGAGCTTTGATATTCGAGGATTTTAACCCTGTTATCAACTTATCATCAGTCATCACGTGGTGTCGTTGGTTCACACTTTATGTTGCTTCAATTTCCAAAGCCCGGGCCCATCATCATAGAAAGCTGAATCTTTTATTCAAACACAGCCCGATGATGGGGGTGGGTTATTATATGGCTCCAAACGGATCGGATCAGATCGAATCGGATATAGGTACATCCAAACTTGATTAATTTGTATTTGAATTCGAATCAGATCATGTTCATCAAATATTTAACAGATTCGAATTGAATTCAGATTATAATCGAATATTAAATATTTTAATAAATTAGATTAAACATGATTAAAATGTTATATATTTTATGAACAAAATGAATTGAAATTTATTTATATAAAACTTGAACTTATGATAATTTAGTAAAAACACTAACATTCAAATCGACTTCAGTGCTAGACATAATATAAATATGGTTTGTACTCTCCAACCCCGGAACTATTAAGATCGATTTTGATGTTTCATGCTCTAAAAATGGTTTGTGCTCTATTACGGCTATTGATTAAAGAATATCATCAAGGAATGTAGAGATGAAAGGTTAGTTTGAGAATGGCTTGTGGTACAGGCATGTTCTCAGGGAAGCCAACCAAGCTGCTGATTGGAATGCAAATGGAGCTCTTTGATCCCCTTGTGGATAGGGGTGAGCATTTGGTTTATTCAATTAAAAACAGAATTGAATGAATTAAATTTTTTAAAACCAAAATTAAAAAATGAAAATTGAATTGAAAACTGAATTATAATAAAACCGAAATAATCGAATTGAAATTTTTGGTTCGATTTTTGTTATTTCAGTTAAAACCGAATTTAATTAATATATACATAATATTATATATTATAACCTATAATATATATATATATTATGAAATTTAATTTCATTATAATACATTATATATAATATATTAATATATAAATATATAACATATTATATATTATATAATAAATCGTAGTTAATTTGATTTTTTTCAATTAACCAAATTTCTAAATCTAAAAACCGAATTACATAAAAACCAAAAAACCGAATAAAAAGTAATCAAAACCGAAACCAAATTTCTAAATCTAAAAGCCAAAACTGAAAACCAAATTACATAAAAAACAAAAAACCGAATAAAAAGTAATCAAAACCGAAATTTTCAATTCGATAATTTGATTTTAACCGAATAATGCTCACCCCTACGTATGGATCTATTTCTTTAGTCTTTGTAAGTCCCGTGGTCTTTAGATTTTATCTGTCTCAGTGAATTGTGGGGACGTGCTACCCCGTCTTGTGTACCCCATTTTGTTTTCATAAAAATATATAAATTTTACATATACCTAAATGAAATTAAATCAAAATATATAGGATCCAATCGGGATAGATACATATTTGATCCAAGGGATCGAATCCGGATAACCCTTAATAGCATCGAATTCGAATTTGGATAGTCGGATACCGTTTGTAGCATAGGTGGGTTTGTCACACTAGGCAGACATAAGAACAAGTAGGGTCCAATTCCAATACAGACCCATAAGCATCCACGTGGCGCGCGTCAAAACAATAGGGATTGCTCCCAAAGGATCAGACATTGGAGGTTGTTCACGTGCTTCGTAGTTGTGCATAATTGTCGCGATACTCTAAATTCTGTGGCTTCCTCATCATTGATGAATCAAGAATATACCCCAGTCCTACACAGTACTCGCTTTCTCACCAAAAAAAATATTCTTATGACCGTTACAATTTACAAACCCTAATTTTCAAACCAAACCACGCGCCCATTTCTAACCGTTTAAACCCCATTTCATACTCTAAACTCTGAAGATAACGTTTTCCCTCTTCTTCTTTCAGTTGTTCTTCTTGACTTCTCAAACTCCACCAACATGAATACATTCCTTGAAAAAGAACCTCGCTTATCTGCGCCATGAATCACCTCCAAGAGAGCATATTGTCATCTTCTGCTGCCCCTCCCCTTACCTATATTGTTTATTTCTTCTTTTTCCTGTTCATCTATTCTTAGCAATCTCGTGCTAACTTAAGCTCCCACCATGAATTTTCTTCCAAGAAAGTTTCTTGTTTTATTCTCTCTCTTCGTTTTCTTTGAGTTTTCAATTGTTGCGATGGCGTCTGCGGAGAATTTGAAGTTTGATTTCCGTTCTTTCACTCTCCGGAATCTCACTCTCCTCGGCGACTCTTACCTCAGGAACGGTGTCCTCGGTCTTACACGGGAGATTGGTGTCCCCTCGTCGAGCTCTGGTAGCGTCATCTGCAATTCCCCCGTTTCTTTCTTCGATCCTGTAACGAACATCACAGCTTCTTTTTCGACGAGGTTCTCCTTCTCAATTACCAACGTCAGTTCAGGCTCATATGGTGATGGGTTGACGTTCTTTTTGTCCCCAAATAACCGGACCCTCGGAAGTTCAGGAGGGTTTTTGGGTCTTGTTAATTCGTCCCAACTGACCAAGAACAGATTTGTCGCGGTTGAATTTGATACCCGTTTAGACTCCCATTTCAACGATCCTAATGATAACCACATTGGGTTGGATATTGATACTTTGAATTCAATCAAGACGGCAGACCCCACGTTGCTGGGCATAGATCTCAAGAGCGGCAACCTGATAACAACGTGGATTGATTACAAAGACGATCAGAAGAAATTGAACGTTTGGATGAGTTACTCAAATTCCAAGCCAGAGAAGCCAGTTTTGTCAGCTGATACGGACCTCTCGGACTATCTCAAAGGAGTTATATATGCGGGGTTCTCTGCGTCCACTGAAGGGAGCACCGAGCTCCACCTGATTCAAGATTGGACCTTTCAGACGTTTGGGTTTCAACCTGTGAAACCATGGTATCAGCCACACAATGTGTCTGATAACTCTGTCACTGTAACGCCACTAATTCCCGCCTCTAATTCTACCAGCAAAAGACGTAAGAAACTTGGTTTAGGCTTTGGAATTGCTGGGCCGGCCTTCTTCTGCGTGGTTCTTTTGGTATTTGGTTGGATTTCTCTTAAGAAATGGAAGGAAATTAGAACAGATAAGAGCTTCAAATCAGAGCTTCTGAAAGGCCCAAGAGAATTTAGTTATAAAGAGCTAAGATCTGCCACAAAAGGGTTTCATTCCAGCCGAATCCTAGGTCACGGAGCGTTTGGGACTGTTTACAAAGCCATTTTTCCTGAGTCCGGCGTCATTTGTGCAGTTAAACGATCGAAACATACCCACGAAGGCCAAACTGAATTTCTTGCTGAACTGTCCATAATAGCTTGTCTGAGACACAAAAATCTAGTCCAACTTCAAGGTTGGTGTGCTGAGAAGGGTGAGTTACTGCTCGTGTATGAATTTATGCCCAATGGAAGCCTTGATAAAGTCCTCTACCAAGAAACTGAGGGGATCTCACTAAAATGGCCTCAGAGGTACAACATTGCTTTGGGGATAGCCTCTGTTCTTTGTTATCTACACCAAGAATGTGAACAGCAAGTTATCCACAGAGACATAAAGGCCAGTAATATAATGTTGGACAGGAATGTTAATCCAAGGCTGGGGGATTTTGGTTTGGCGAGGCTCACGGAGCATGATAAGAGCCCTGTTTCAACCTTAACTGCCGGAACAATGGGGTATCTCGCCCCTGAGTATCTCCAATATGGGAAAGCAACTGAAAAGACCGATGTTTTCAGCTATGGTGTGGTTATTCTCGAAGTGGCTTGTGGAAGGAGGCCTATAGAGAAAGAAACAAATAGCCAGAAGATGGTTAATTTGGTGGATTGGGTTTGGAGTTTGTACTCCAGGGGCAAACTCACTGAAGCGGCAGACAGTAGGTTGAATGGGGAGTTTGAGAAGGAGGAAATGAGAAAGTTGTTGCTTGTGGGCCTGAGCTGTGCAAACCCAGATTGCACTGAAAGACCTTCAATGAGGAGGGTCCTCCAGATCCTAAACAATGAAGCAGAGCTTCCAATTGTACCAAAGACAAAACCTAGTCTAACATTCTCTAACAGCTTGCCGTTGAGTCTCGAGGATATTGTCTTTGACTGTGAAGACTCTAAGGCACCCAGCCCTTTCTATGAGATCAAACCCAACTGAGGTAAGTTCCAGTTGCCTCTGTGTGTATGTGGGGGTGTTCTATTTATTTATTTATCCTTTTTTTTGAAGGGGGGATTCTAGTAAATCTATTTATTTCTTTACTGTTCGATTAAATTTATGGTCCAAGTCCGAAGCCAGTGTCCTTGCTACAAGAGAACTCCCTGTCTTCTATTTTGTTGAACTATCATAATCTTTGTTGATCAAACAATTATTTTGACATGTTTATTGAGTCTCAGTTTCCAATTTAGGTGGTTCCCTGATTCATGACCAGTAATTAGCAAAGGTTAACCATTAATACAAGTTCAGATTTAACATATTTCCTGTAAACACACCAGAATATAGATAAAAATTAAATATTGTACATTTGTCACAGAAAAGTGATTAGTTACTTGTTTTTTAATTTACAGGAAAACAGAAAAGAATTTGCAGACCATGGTGACTTTGTATTGAAGAGAAGTATTTGTATTATAGTTGAGAAGATGGAAAATTCTTAGAGCCAATTGACTTGGCAGAATGTCTAAGGGAGTAATCTGTTGGTGTCCAATTTAATCTACTGAACCTACTGCCGTCATCAAAGGAATTTTGAATAAACTGAGCAAAAGAGATGAGGAGTGCACTGTTCTTTTTTCCTTTTTCTTTTATCTTATGTTTAGTTCTTTCATTTAGCTTTAAATGTATATCAACACAAGTGTGGTAATCAAAGCACTTGCAATGATTGTTTCTCTGATTTTTTTTCTCTTTCTGGATAACTGATTCTTTCTGTAGTGAGTAGATTGGTATGTTGCTTCTTTAGCAATGACACATGGAAATACAGTGATATCCCACATGTAATTAGTATCATTTGCAGGGTGAATAACTTGATGAGAAATCAATGTTTCTTTCTTTCTTTCTTTCTTTCTTTCTTTCTTTTTTCTTTTTTTATTTTTTGTGTGTGTGTGTGTAACAGATGAGAAATCAATGTATTTCCTGGTTAGTGATAGTGTTTCATCAATCAACATTAGAAAAATTAACCTTGATTGCACTGCAAATGCAACTGTGCTATTATTGTCTGCTTACTACTATAATGAGACAGCATTTCATGACTGGTGCCTATTGTGGCATATTCAGTAAAGCTCCATCACAATGGTTAATAGCACGGTTGTAATGCCTATGATGTTATTTCTTCTTTTTTTTCGAGGCTAATTTCACCTTTATTTCATATATGGGAAGAGATTTCAAATTAGGCTGGCTTGCTTGGAGGCTTAAAATTTCAGATAATCTAACTAAAGAGAGTAAGTTTGTAGAACCCAAATACTGAAGCAGACCGATTAAATAGATTGAAACATTACCTTAGTTGATTAAAATGGTGTAGAACTACTAAAAATTATAAACAATGAAAGATAGATTATCTAGCAGCCATTGGCATTGCAGTGTCTGCCTTTTTCATCAGGTGTTCTCACGTTAATACTTTCAATAAACATCCACTTCAAATATTTTGGATTTCCTCCCTCTATTATTTGATGGTTGAATTGTCTACTGAAGTTCAGTCCGTACACATCACCACCCTTTAAATGTTCGGGATTTCTTTGCATCATCATGGAAATCATGATCTTCCTATGACATTGTAGATCTTTCAATCCCTATAATTGCAGATACTATTTTCAAATTTGCAAAAATGTCACCAACATTTCAAGGCATTTAATACATACAGCATCACCATCTCTTTAGATGTTGGATCATCATGAAAACCACTAGCTTTCTATTAATTGGTAGAGAATCCAATCCCTATAATCAGTAAAGCAATGGGGTCTCCTTAAGAAGCTAAAATGCCTGCAGCCCCATTGATCTCTCTTCCAAACATGTGCACGTAGAGAAATATCTTGCAACTTCCACAGCAGATCCTCCGAATGATGTAATGTCTAGCAAGACTCAAGTCCTTGGCAGCAAGAAGAATTTGGATACCCAACTACCCTTAAGGCCTTACCAAGTTCCATAGTCCAAACCTTGGGCTTATACGTGTTTAGCTTCTGAAGGTCTCAAGCACATAAATACTTCTCCAAGAAGGCCTCAAACCAGCTCACCTTAACCTTCACTCTCCTCAGGGCCCTGTCAAGTTGAGCATAAAGGTCCTTACCTACCTCAGGTGGAGTTCACATGCAAAGAACTTGGGGTTGAGGACAAACAGTTGGCAAGCTAATCTCCAATGACCTTAGGAATTCCTTCATGCACTGTGTCATCTATGATAGGACATATGACCACCAGAAGGAACTAATTATTTGAATATTTGCCTTTTTGGTTCCTGCCAAACTCTTAATACAAAAAATAGCTACAAAAAGTAGTCTAATTTATTTCAACTATGCCTCCCATAAAAACTGACTCCACACCAGCATACACCAAAGAGATTCCTCCACGGTCTTCAGAACTCCCAGGTAGATTTAACGAGGCTTTCGTTGACGGAGTCAGTTTTCAGATCACCCCATCCCCATTCCCATTAGCTATTGTTGCATTGGGATAGATACAAACTGCTCCATACTCCATACCAAGTCACCAACTTAAGTTCAAAATATATCCTATCCTACCCTATCAACACGATTAAAAAAATGGGGGTTTTATTGTTCAGTCCGCCTCAACAAATCTTAACTCCACCCTACAGGTGGGATGAATCCTGACTGTGGATCGATGCCAAATCCAGGGGTAGGATGTGGTTTATAGGGGGGCTACTAGTAGACTAGGAGGGGGCTGCAATTTCATATTTCTGAGGTGGAGAACAGTCTACTTAACAATCTTCCATTAGAAAAACACCACTTGCAAGCCATATATAACAACTAAAATAGTTGTTTCACAATGCCCAGGTCAATTTGGTTAGTTTAATCAGTTTAATGAACATCCTTAACTAAAATTAATTATTGTTATTTTTGTATTATAAAAAATATTAAATTTCTTTTTTGTAAAGGTAAGGTAAATTTATTAGATTAAAACTTTAGTACAAAACAGGAACCTGCCAACAACAAGGCAAGCCTGAGCAAACACCAAATTGACTGATTTCTCAGTAACTGAGCTGCATTTACATGTTTGAATTCTGGGGTGACTGAAATCCAGGATATCAGTTTACAAACAGCCATTTGACATATTTCCTCTGGCCCTCTCACTCTTTGAATAAAAATTCTGTTGTTTCTCTCAGATCAAATAGCCCAGAGCACTGCTGCTGGGATGGAAGTATAGACCAACTTCCCTCTTTTCTTCATATTACTGATCTTCCAGCTACAGAGCATATCCTTAACGGATTTTGGCATGACCCAACATATCCCCACAGCCTTCAATAAGTGGCACCACACCTGGGCAGCAAACGGGTAGTGAATGCAAATATGATCCATAGACTCAAGATGTGCATCACAAAGGGCACAAGACTTATCTGGGATCTACAAGCCTCTTCTTTCTAGATTAGTTCTAGACAGGCATTTATTTAAGGCCATCATCCAGACAAGGAAATTTACTTTTGATGGACTAACTGAATTCCAAACCAACTTAGAAGGAAAGTCCCCCACTACCACTCTACTACTGAGTCTACTGGCCATAGATTTTATGGAGAAATTACCCTCTTTGAACCAAGTCCAAATCCATTGATCATCTTGATTATAGTCAAGGTTCTAAACCTATAAAGTTTCCAACAAACTCATAGCTTCTTGAACTTCCCAATCAAAAAGGCCTATTCTAAATTGGGGAACCCATGTCACCTCATTACTAGAGACTATATAAATTAGCCACCGAAGCATTCTAATTGGAGGCACACTGATAGATAAGGGGAAACTCTTCAACCAAGGGATGATCCAAGCACCAATGATCTTTTCAGAATCTAACCCTATCCCCTTTACCAACTTTGAGATTGATTCCCCCCTCAAACAAGGGGAAGAGCTTCATGATGCTTTTCCATAAAGAGCAGCCCCAATTAGGAGGATGATCTCTTGTTCTCTAGTTTCCCCAATCAACCCCGAATTTAGAAGCTATTAGGCTTCTCCACCAGGCTCCCCTTTTCAATGGCAAATCTCTAGATCCATTGCTAAGCAGAGCCAAACTAGTCACCTTAAGTCTTCTTAAGCCTAGGTCCCCTTTCTCCCTAGGGAGACAAATTTGATTCCAATTCACAAGGTGGATCTTCTTTTCTTCCTCCCAACCCCTCCACAAGAAATTCTATTGGAGAGTCTCTATTCTTTTTGCCACTTTTGATGGGATAGGGAAAAGGGAGAGAAAATAAGTAGGAAGGTTGGAGAGAGTACTTTTTTAGAAGAATCACCCTACCTTCAAAGGAAAGGTATTTTGCCTTCCATGAAGACAGTTTCTTTTCCAATCTTTCAATTATTGGATCCCAAATGGCTAAATTGGCTGAAGAAGAGAATTTAGCCCCCAATGGAAGGCCTAGATATTTCACAGGAAACTGTTCCACCCGACAAGCCATAATATTGGCACACCCTCCCAGGTTAGGAACCTAACCCACTGGGATGATTTGGCTTTTATTGAGGTTTACTTTCAAACCTGTCACTACTTCAAACCAGTTGAGAATCCCAAGAAGATTTTCCAATTGCTCCTGAGTGGCATCAATGAAACATAAGGTATCATCTGCAAACTGAAGGATATTAACTTTTTCCCCTTTGGGGAGATTGCAAACCCTTTCCACAAGCCCGAGTCAGTTGCCTTCTAACTAAAGAGAATTAGAATTTCAGTAATACAAATAAAAAGAAGTTGAGAGAGGGGGTCTCCCTGCCTGAGCCCTCTAGAACAAAGAAACCTGCTGATTGGCCATTTATCAGAATGGAAAATTTAGGAGAGGGCACACAAACTTTCATCTAGTTTCTCCATTTTTGCCCAAAACTCTATCTAAGCATCTCCAGTTAACATGATCGTAAGCTTTTTCTATATCCAACTTATACACCAAACCAAGAATCCCCTCTCTCTTCCTAGAGTCTATCAACTCATTTGCCTACCCGACACAAAGGCATTTTGATTGTTTGAGATCACACAATCTAACACCCCCTTCATCCTCTCAGCTAAGACCTTGGCCAAAATCTTGTAGAAGTTGTTCAAAAGGCTTATTGGCCTAAAATCTTTTAAATGTACGGCCCCTTCGATCTTGGAAATGAGAGTGATAAATACATTGTTCAAACTCCTTTGTAGAGAAGCACTTGAATGGAAGGTATGAAAATCATTTAGAATATCTTGCTTCACAAAATCCATTACTCAGAGAAAGGTTTTTCAAGGAAATATCTTTGATCTTCACTCAACCTTTTAAAAGGAAGGTTTATGGGGAAAGGTCTGCATTTCCAATTTTCCTTATAAAGGTTTTTATAGAAAGACGTTGCAATTGCTTTGATTTTTGCAACCGATTCACCCACCTTATCATCCCAAATAAGCTTGCTAATTGTAGAAATTCTACTTTTTTCATTTGCCAACTTATGGAAATAGTGACTATTCCTATCCCCTGCTTTCAGCCATTCTAATTTGGCCCTCTGTCTCCACTTTAATTCCTCTTTGACTGCCAATTTGTCAAATACTGCCTTTGCTTGAATTCTTTTCAATTTAACTCTTCTGAAATTGGGCATGTTTCCTCTACTCTGCCAATTTCATCAATTAGGCTAAGAAAAGCTCTCTTTTCTATTTTTGAGTTCAAATTATTTTCCGTTTTCCATATTTTTAATTTTTCCTTTACTGCCCCCAACTTTTTCGCTAAAACAAATGAACTAGACCATCCACCTACACTTCACACCAAAATGATCTTAATAACGGCAGGAAGTCAACCTCTTCAAACCATGCATTCTCGAACTTAAAAGGAGCTTTGATTCTATTCCTACTACCACAGATCAGCTGGATTGGAGCGTGGTCTAAGACAAGTCTCGGAAGTATCACTTGCTTGAAACCAGGGAAGAGCTCATCCCAATTTTCAGAAACCAGAAATCTACTAGCCTGACAAGAGTTGGATTATCCTGATTATTTGTCCAAGTAAAACTTCCTCCCACTAGAGGTAGGTCAATGAGCTCCAATTTGTTTACAAAATCAACAAATAAACTCATCCCCCTTGATCTCTTGCCTCTAACATTTTTTTCTTCAACTGGCAGAGTGATATTGAAATCCCCTCCAATTACCCACGGGTGAGAAATACAGCCTCTCATCACTTCTAATTCTTCAAAAAAAGAGTGCCTAAGGTTTGCTTCAGTAGGAACATACACATTAGTCACTTGACAAAGGCTTCCATTAGCAAGTTCCATTATAAAAGAGGTGGAAAAAGAACCCACCCTGTATGAAATCATTCTACATACAGTCCCAAAGGATGACCAAGCCCCCAGCACTGCCCCTTATCGACTTAGCTCTCCATCTCACCTGACCCTCCCCCCAAATGCTCCGGACAATCCCTACATCCATAGATTCCAGCTTAGTCTCCTGAAGCATAAGAATCTAAATTTTGGCTTTTCTAACAACCTCACACACGACTAACCTCCTTCTGCCCAACCCCAACCCTCTAACATTCCAAGACATTATTTTCAAATCCATTAACTACTTGAGAGATAGAAAAACCAACCAACCACCTCCCTTTCTACTTCTTACTTCCTCTCACCCCTTTTGTAGCTCCCCACCCTATCGTTCAAACCCCAGTTTAATCTCATCAGTTCCCTGTTCTTTTTTGAAGTAGTGCCCCCTTTTTTTGCTGCTAATTTTCCCCTTTCCATGAGAATTCTATGCTCAGCTCCCTCCATATATTTTGTTGTTTCTTCCTCCAGCCATTCTAACGAAACTCCCAGAAATTTCCTTAACCCCAATAATTTTGAGGAAACCCAAGAGGAAGAAGAAGAAGTTTTAGAGAACTTGTCTTCCTGTGTCGCCAAAACTACACATTTTCCTTTGTTGACGATGGGTGAGGTATTTCCATTCACGTGCAAAGTTTCTTATGGTTAAATCCCAGATTAGCCATCCTCTCTTGCACAGCAGGTTGGTTCATCTTCTGGATTGATGACTCGACCACTGCTATCAGCCTCACCTCCATTGGTTCCTCTTCCACCTAAATAATAGAAAATTAATTTGGAGTTGACCTTGAATCCACTGAGTCTTGCCGCAACGGTTGGTTAGGAGTCGAGGCTAACCCATAGTCTTCATCTGTGTTCTCCAAAGTGAAGGAGAGAGGGTTGGACCTTCGCTCAAGTGGAGAAGAGTGAAAGCCTGACCTACTCTGGGGTTGGCTAAGCCACTGGGGCCCGAGATGAACCTGGTTGCTCTTGACTTGCTCTTGCCAAGGTGGTCTGGGCTCACTTAGGGCTTTCCTAGCTTGAATGTTTTCATTAACCCGCTTCGGCTGAGAAACTGGACCGTTTTGATGTGGGTTTCGGGTTTGGATCTGCTCCATTGGGACCGAGTGAACTCAGAGGTTCTCCATCAACACCTTTCTCCTCTCCTCTGTGGCTGTAAGACTGTCCCTTGCTACCTTACCTCTTTGAATTTCCTCTATGCATTAAAATCTTCAATTGGTCCACCGCCAAAACTCCCCTCTCATGTGAAAAGTTTAAAATTTGAATCTCCCCCTCTTTTGGATTTCCCAAGGCACCATCTCTATCGTCCATCTGCTTACAGATCTGACGGTTTGTATTCCCCACCTCTTCGTCTTCTTCCTCTTCCCTTTCACCGGTCTCCGACAGCCGAGGCCTCTACGGCTTCCCCTGTTGTGGTGTGGGATGGCTGGTCACTGCTTCTCTTTCATTTTCTTTTGAAGACAAGCTCTCCTCCACGTCTTCAATGTCTACTCATGTATTTTTATTAAACTTTCACTTAATAAAATCCATGCATGGCACGGGTCCCTACTAGTATAACAAATAATTGCTTCACAATAGAGCCACTCCTAGTGAAGTATTTCATTCATAACCTAGCTACAAGTTAAATCTCTCGGAACCTTTTATTTCATCATTGATGCATATATCTTTGTGTGTGTAGTTTTCCGTAGAGGTGTAAAGTGGGCCGTGTTGGGCCGGCATCGCACGGCCCGTGGGCAGGCCCATGCAAAGTGCAAGTCGTGCCGTCGCAGGTCATCACGGGCCGTGCCTCCCTCCCCGATGAAAATTTTGGGAATCAGCCCAGTATGCCACACGACCCAGGCTCGTGCCGTGCCACAGGCCGGACTGGCCCGTGGGCTGAGCCTTGGGCCAGGTCGGGCCGTGCATCGGGCCATAGCTATTTATTTTAAAAAAATTAACAAAATACTTAAAATTTTAATTTTATATAAATTTTGTGTATAAAATTGCTTATATATGCAATAATTAAATAAATTAATATAATAAAATTAAAAAATATTTATTTTGTTAGTATATTATATACTATATATTATTATATAATTATAATATATATATATATATATATGGGCCATGTCGCGGGTTGTGCTGGGCTGAACCATACCGGCCTGCAGGCCACGGGCGGCACGGCCCGCTCAATCATGCCGTGTCGTTCTGACCCGTGGACTTAAAACCCCAGGCCCAACACGGCCCGCTTGGTCGTGCCAAGCCTGACACGGCTCACAGACCGTCATGCCGGGCCACGGGCGATACGACCCCATTTACACCTTTAGTTTTCCAAACTTCCTCCCAACGTACACCGAAGTTTCAGCTAATTCTTCTCTTAGAAAAATTAGCTAAAACTATTAGAAATATCTGATTTTTTTCTTATGTTTACCTGAACGAAACTGAAATTTCACAAAAAAATTCATTAAACTTCGGCAGCATTAAAAGCCACACATGGGAATTGAAATGTGAGAAATTCTCCTGAGTCCTGATTGCCTGATACGGACCAAGACAAACCAGATCGAGGTTTGTCTCAACAGGATTTGGACTTGAAGCGTCCAAATATACCCAAAAGAACATGATCGAGGTTCCTTCCATGTATGCTGAAGGTTGGTTGTACTTGTACCACTACGTAACAACGCAGTGACGCACAGCACCGTTTCCATTTCAAAAAATATATATATATAATAGTAAAATACAAATATGTAGCACACAAACACCTATAACGAACCATCACTATCAACTCGAACGAAGTCTTACTGGGAATTGATATGAAAAACAACTTTTTCCTGTTAAAGTTCACGCACAGTTAACCCATTAAACAAAAATGTATTGACTACTCTGAAAATAACCCTACTTCTAACCAAATTCTACTTTCTCCCACCAATGAAAGTATTCCTCTTACATTTTCACTTTTGGGGGGATCAACTTCCTGTATACATGTTGCACCAAGTTGAGAGGACCAAATGATAGTTAGGAAATATGTTTCATTGCACAACGTAAGCAAAGGATCATGTTAGCAAATTTCCTCTCCATGAGAGGATTGTTCTATACACTTCTTTTTTCTCTCACTGCACCCATCTTTGCCAGTGTCTTCTTTTACCCAAACTTCTGCTTCAGCTTCACATCTTTTCCTCTGGGGAACTACCTGAAAGAATGACATCTTCCAATCTCTCGTTTCCAAGAATTTGAGCAGTATCTCAACCACTTGGTTCACAGTAAGCACCTGCTTCATCCACATAAATGGGAAAAAATTACTGATGAAACTATATTGAGATAACAGCAAACAAATTCCTAGTCTGGCAACAGCCAAGTATAGAACCCCGGTTAAATAACACAATTTTTAAGTTTTAACAAGATAAAAATTCGTGGGCTATTTGTTTGGATGGATTTGGTAGTGGAATCATGTACAAAGAGATTGAGCCTAGGAAGCAAATTTACTCACCCCAAAGAACTTTCTGGACTTGCTTGTAATGGAAATTTTAAAATTCAATAGCTTGCAATTAAAAAGAAATCCGATGTTGTGTATTATACAGCTGACATGGAAGGTCAAACAAAGCAACCAATCCAGGAAGGTCAACTATCTGATGGACGACCACATTGGGTATGCCATTCTGCCAAAATTACAATGAGGTTGCCTTAGCAAAGGAACATGGATGACCACCAGGAAAAGTTTTTCTATTTAGCATAGGTTAGCAAATAGAAAGCTTAACAACCTTTTCATGGATATTTTAAAATTAAGAAAGAATATAAAGAAAGGCCAATGTAGCTTTTATTGTGTTCATTAAAACTCTAAATAACTATCATTCAATAAATTAACAAGAAACCTTAGGTAGATCTATCCAATAAAAGTGTCCTCAACAACCAAAAAAAGAAATATATATGAGATTTTAAAATAGTCAACTTCTATGAGGGAAAGGACTGACTGGATCAGTACCTGGGAACTTGACATCTTCAAGTAACTCCCAATAGGAAGTTTTGCAGTCTGAATTCCCTGCTCCTGTGCTTTTTTCAGGGTAATGCCTTTCCATCTGTTTCGATCCACCAAACCACCAATAATGTATATTTTCTTTGGATCAAGTTCATCCAGCACAGTTTCTGCATCTGCAGTGAGATAGATAAGATTTTCTTTCTGATCTTGCAGGGCTTCAATATATGACCTAGTCTCCTTCTCAATTACCCACTTATCGAATCCTGGGAGCCTTTGTAGTTGGGTCTCCATTTCTCCTCTACATCCAGTCAGCCAGAGATGACATGGCAAAGGACATTTTCCATTCACTGCATAACAATACATGATCTGCAAGTTTCTTCAGTCAATTAATTATGTCTAAAAATAATTAGAGTAGATGCTTACAACAATTGGTTAACTAATGATAGATATTTTATTTACTAGTTTAGTCAACAAAAGAAAAGTTGATAACATCCATGATAACTAGTCCACAAATAGGATATGGGACCACAGATTCCTACTGATGGCATATACCAGTGATACCAATGTCTATCCATTAAAGGGGGAAAAAAAAGAAGGCATGGTAATGCAATATAAGAAACACATTAATCCCTGCCTATTCAATGCAAACCAGCATATGAAACACATCCAAAGTGATAAGGTTCACCAATCATAGATAGAAAAGCTATATCAGGTAAAGTAACCTATCTCAAGCATGACATGAGAAAATGAGCAGTGTTGTGATCAAAGCATGGTTTCAGAACATGAAAAGACCAGAGTCAGTGTTGCAGAGCATAATTTCAGATAATCAAGGAGATTTTGTGGAAGAACAATTATAGTGGATGGGGTTTTGGTTTTGCAGACAAGCTAATTGACTCTAGACTAAGAAGTGGAAAGGCTGCCTTATTGTGCAAAGTTGACTTTGAGAAAGCTTACGATCATGTTAACTAGCAGTTCCTTTGCTATGTACTGAAAAAGAATGAATTTTGGTTCAAAATGGAGAAACTGGATGAAGGTATGTACCTCCACCCCAACCTTTTCAATCTTGGTGAATGGAACTTATTGTGGGAGATAAGAGTTCAAGGGGATTAAGGCAAGGGGGGGGCCCTCTCTCCCCTTTTTTGTTCATTTGTGTAAGTAACAGAAGCCCTTAATTGAATGATGAGAAGGGCTGTCTCCGGGGGTTTTGTTGAAGATTTTGCGGTGGGGGTGAACGGGTGGAGCCGTGGAGGTTCCTTTATTACAGTTTGCTGATGATACTTTGATTTTTGGTGATGCGTCTCATGAGCAGATTGGTTACATTTTGGTAGTCCTTGGATGATTTGAGGTAGTATCAGGTTTACATGTGAACATTCATAAAAGTGAGCTGGTGGCTGTGGGAGAAGTACCAGAGCTAGAGCATTGGGTGGAGGAGTGGGGTTGCAAAATGGGGAAGCTTCCTAAAAGTATTTGGGATGCCGCTAGGAGAAAGGTGTAATTACAAGGCAATATGGGAGCCCATTGTGGAGAGAATAGAAAAGAGGTTGGCATCTTGGAAAGCAAAATACCTCTCATATGGAGGTAAAATAACTCTGCAGAAAAGTGTTCTTTCCTCCTTACCACTTTACTTATTGTCTCTGTATCCAACTCCGGCTGGTGTGGCAAATGTTATAGATGAGAGATTTTTTGTGGAGAGGGTGGAAGGATGAGAAAAAAAAGTACAACCTGGTCAACCGGATTAAGGTATGCAAATCCAAATTTCAAGGAGGTTTAGTTGTGTGAAGGGTGAGAGATGTCAACATTGCCCTCTTGGGCAAATGGTTTTGGAGGTTTGGTAATAACCAGGGAGGTCTTTGGAGAAGAGTGGTGGTGGCAAAAGTATGGCATTAGCAGCTCAAGGTGGGAGCCGGGTGCTTCAAATCAAAATTATGGGTGCTCGGTGTGGAAAGGGGTTGAGAAAGCGCATCATATTTTCTCAAAAGGGGCAAGGTCCAAAACCGGAGATGGACTTAGACTAAAATTCCGGGAAGAACATGTGGTGTGGAGACAGACCATTGAAGGAGATCTACAATTTCCTTTATGAGGTAGCATCAAACAAAGAAGCAGGTGCAAAATGGAAGAGTGGTTAGGGTTCCTTAATTCAGAAGGCATTTGAATGACTGGGAAGTAGAGGCAATGGTGGAATTGCTGCAGAGGCTGTATAGCATTCAAGTGGACTTGGAAGAGATGATAGAAGATTATGGGTTGGGGACAATTCTGGAATTTTTTCAGTTAAGTCCTTCAATTTTTTATCCAGACAGAGGAGCAGAAAATTCCAATCAAGATTGTTTGGCGCAAAAATGTGTCCACAAAGGTCTCCTTCATGTGGACTTCCTACTTGAATAAAACCTTAACCAGGGATAATTTGGTGAGGAAAGGTATGCAGTTGAACTCCACTAACTGTGTCCTCTGTGATGAGCACTAGGAGTCTGTGAGTCACTTGCTGCTACATAGTAGATTTTCTTTTGAGGTTTAGTCTGAAGCCTGGAATCTTTTTGAGGTGAAAAGCTTCTGTCCAGAATCGATAACTGATTTTGTGAAAGGCTGGTATATAGGGGAGCTATCCAAGAAAAGAAGACTGGCATGGAAAATGACTCCTGCAGCAGTTATTTGGTGCATCTGGCAGGAGAGAAACACAAGAATCTGCAAGCTTAAAAAAAGTTCTTCAGATTCAGTTTTTCAGAAAATAGTGGGCAAAATTTTTTCTTGGCTTTCTGTAAAAAAGGTGTTTAGGGATAGAAATTTCAGTTCTCATTTTAATTATTATGATAATCTTTTTTGTAAATCAGGGTTAGAAGGTATAGGGCTGCTTCGGCAGTGTGCTGTAAATCCCTGTGTACAGCTTCTTGTTGTACATGTTTTCTTATTTTAATGATATTTTACTTGACCTGTTCTAAAAAAAAAAGTTGCAAAACTTTTGATGACCATTGACCATGAACAAAGAACACATTCTGCAGATCTGAGGAGATATGCATCGGTGGTGGATTTTTTTTTCTTTTTTTGAAAAATCTGTGGTTGATTTTTCTTGATAAACCTTATAGGTATCTTGCCGAAGCAGGTAAGCAGATAATATATGTATGTATGTATACCATAGGGGGAACCCAGAAAACTGAAGCTTCTTTTCTAAGAAGGTCTGGCTAGAGGGTTTGGATACTACAGCATTAAAGAAGGATTTGGAGGGAAAGAGAGCAGTTGAATTGGGGGACCAGATGCAGTATCTTAGGTGTCAGGGAGGGGAGATGTATACATAGTTAAGATAAGGCAAAGGTAGGTGACAGTGGCTGGTATCCTATTCACACCAAGGGGAGGTGCTCAGTTTCTGTTATTCATCAAAAAAAAAAAGCAACACTAAGGGGTCTGTTTACCCCAACACACATTGAGAAACAAATCAACAATTTAATGTAGTTTCCATTATCTGAATCGCATATAATAAAAGGAAATGGAAGACTAAAAACAGATTTTGCAATGCCTCTCCAGACTCTTTTAAGGAATATCTACTGGATTAAGATTTTTTTTAATCAGCTATCTATTGGATTAAGATTGTAGTTCCAACTATTGGTGTGTCTCCATGCTTGTTGGTTATGATCACAGTCAAGAGGATTTCTTTATTTTAGAGAGAACCTCCACAACCACTTTCCTAAGAGAGTTGTTTTCCTATGAAATATATGTCCCAGCCCCTAGCCAGCCTCCTTGGGCTTGCAAATAATGTTCCAACTCTAAGAGAGTTGGTTCATAGATTTTTTTAATATAAGTTTGAGGACACGAAGAGTGGCTGACTCGTTCCAGAAAACAGAACACAAACCCCATAGATTAGATGAAAAGTTTAAACATCTAGAAACCATAGCTCTAAGGTCTGAACTTGAAATTTTTCGTTATTTATCAAACAAAAAAAAGATACATATATCCCCAGCAAAACTACTACATTCAAAGGATCCCCATGCATCTAGAATGCATATTTTGGGTATAAAAATGGTTTTGGAACAATGACCAATCAAAAATTGGTTTTGGATGAGGATGAGGGGTGAGAGCAGACCAGTACACGTAATGTATTGCTTTTGAGACTTCACTGGCCTGAAAAAGATGGCCTAATTGATCATATCTTCCACATCACATAAAAAAAAAAAATACAATAGTGGATACAGCTAACCTTCGCAATATCATTATCCTGCGACTTGTAGTGCTATTGGCATACCACCCACATAGACAGTTTTGCATGTATATGCTTCCACTATCAACATATTTTCAACCACAGATGCACAAAAAAATGTACATCCGCATATGCGTGGAAATGCACATGTTAGTGTTATGTCCTCGTAGAGAGACAGTAACAGGCAACAAAGGGAACTGCAGTGATACGTGCAAAAACACAACCACATAAAAAACTATGGGAAGTATGCGTTTGAAATGTGATATATAATATGCATGCAGTGACACACCGAACAACAATGGGTGATAAACTTTAGCATTAAAGAAGTCACGAGTTCAATTGAATTCTTATCCTGCGGATAAATCATCCGTACTAAGATGTAGAAATAGCATAAACTCTGATACAATCCTATAATTCCATCGAGAACTAAATCTAAAAATAGCAGAATTAGGGCAAACAACCACACCTGTTGAACAAGACTGTGAATTTCATTAGGCGCCATTAGATCGGAAAACTCAAGATCAACGACAATCTTCTGACCTTCTTCTTTGGCTCTCCTCAATCTCTCGATCTTCATCTCCCTCTCTCCCGATACTTTCTCTATCCTCTCTTTTCTGAGCTCTCTTCGAGACTCTATTAGCTTTGTTTTCTCCTCTTCGGATAGGGTCGCAAGCTTCTCCTCCCATTCCCGACGCTTGCGTTCCGCTTCCCTCTGCTTATGCTCTTTAATAGCGGCTTTCTTCTCTGCCTTCTTTGCTTCAAACCTCTGCTGCTTCAAAAGCTTTTTCCGAGCATTTTTCGACAGATGTGGAGGAACAGAAGACTGAGGAGGGTTGTCGTCCGATTGACCGTCAAGGGTGTTTTGTTCATTTTCGACTGGTTCCAGCATTTGCTTATGCAGTGTAATAACAGGATTCTGCGAAAGGGAAAAGGTGTTCGCCTATGTTATCAAAACTGAGGAATGGAGGGAGTCAAGGGGGATAACGGAGAAACCTATCAGGTTATCACGGCCTCACGGGTGAACTTGGGCCGGGTTAGCCCGATTCCAACCCGAAATGTGGGTTGGCTTTTTCTGGTAGGTACATGTGGGTTGGGCTGGAGTTTGTGTTAGAGCATTAGCGGGGATCCGTGTGATGTACGAGATTTATCAAGGAAAGTGAAATAATCAAAACCTATAATTAAAAAAGAATGCAATATTGGTTAAAATAATTAAATCTTTATTTTAGCAATTTGTTATAAAAATATTTTAGTAATTTAGTAATTTTGATTAATTATATTAATTTTTTAATCAAAATAATAAATTATTGCTAATTACTTGATAAAATAATTATTTTTCCATATTATTTGTTAGTATTCTATTTTATTTATTTTACTTTATTAATGATTAAATGTTCCAATTTTTTTGTAAATACCACTTAAATATTTAAAACATTTAAAGATTAATAAATATACAAAATTATGCTATAGTCACAATTAAATTAACCTATAGTTAACTTTTTTAGTCATAATTAAATTAATCTAAGTTCAAACTTAAGGTTTAAGAATTTGGATTAAGTTTTGATTGATCCTCATCCTAACCCAATCCAACCAAGTTGCATGCATCGTAACATTCAAATTGGACTAAACCAAATTGAGTGCAACCTAGCCTACACCTTAAGTGTAATAATATTTGTCTGGGCCTACAAACTTGCTTGTGTTAATTATAAAACTATGGTATTTTTTTAAATTAAAATTTGTATTTAATCCTAGTTTGGTATAAAAAGTATATAGCATTTCTAGATATATTAATATAAAATTTGTTATCTAAATATTATATAATAATATTTACCATATATGCATATAACTTCCAAGTTGAGCTTATTAGGAGTTGCTTAGCTTGAGCCCTACCATCATTGAACTCAAAGAATTCCACACCCAATTAGATTTCAAATTCGATTAACCATTTGATTAATAATTCGATTCGATGTGGATTTAACCCCATCCAATTTAACACATAGGTAGCGCCCGGTAAATCTGAAGTCTGAAATCTAAAGAGCAAAAAAAATCTTTGAGAAAGCTCTGAAGGCATTCCAAATAAAATTTGTTTTTCTACTTTTGCAGATATCTGAATGTGACAGAGTTATTCGACAATCTGAATGATCTAACATCTGAACAAAATGTGCATTTTACAAATTTACCCCTCAAATGTCACTTAAATTATTAAATAACAATGATAGAAATTATTAAAATTTGATAATATTATAAAATTATAAAATTATAAAATTATAAAAATAATAAATAATAAATAAGATTTACAATATATTTTTCTATAGAGATTTACAATATTAATAAAAATATTGAAATTATCAAAATAGTATTCATTAATAATATTATAAAGTAACATTTATTATTTTAATTTGTCTTCAAAATATTAATATTTGCCTTCAAATATTAACATTGTAAAATAATTTTAATATTAATGTTAATATAAAATAATATTTATAAAATGTTAATAATATTATAAAAAATAAAACTAATCTGCTCTCTGCTCTCTTTCTCTCTCTCTCTCTCTCTCTCTCTCTCTCTCTCTCATCCTCGTCCTCCTCCACATATTATCGGTGAGCACGGCTATGCCCAATGCCCTCTTTCTCCTCCTCTATTGCCAGTGGGCTTTTAGCACCAACTTTCTTCAAGTCCCCACTCCCTTGTACATCCTATTGCAGAAACATAGTTGTTGCATCCCCTGTTCAAGATGCTTCATCTGGGTCGTGACCATGTGCAAGCTCGAACCAATGTTCCTATTCGTTCTCCATCACACATCAGTGGGAAGGGGCGTCGATGGAAAACAGTTTATTATTTTTAGTTATCTTATAAATACTAATTCTTATTAATTTCCTAGTTTATAATAGTTTCTAGATAGAAGCTGCAAAAAAAAATAATGTTTTTTATTAAATTTAGTAATTTTTTATTAATTTTACAGCCCTATTACCTACAATATGTGTAGGCATAGTGTAGATCTTAGCTAGACCTGACTTAGAAGAAAATATTTGCTTGAGCACAAGGTTGGACTAAGTTATAAATTGTCATTCCTAAGTAGAAGGAACCTAATGACATTGTTTTAATTAATTTTTCATAATTTTCTACTTTCTATGCTTAATTTTAATTATCCTATTAATATTAATTATATTTAAATAGAATTGAATTGTATTTTAGCTTTTTATTTATGTATTACTCATTTTTATTAATTTTTTAACGTTTGATAGTTGCTAGATAAAAAGTTGCTAAATTTTAATATTTTTATTAACTTTAGTATTTTTTATTAATTATAGCTATTAGGTTTCAAATTATTATTATTATTATTATTATTATTATTATTATTATTATTATTATATGTCGTGTATATGTAAATAAATCGCGAATATGGTCCAAGTAATAAATGCCCAAGTTTCCTTCGGGTCTCAATTCCAATACGACCCCCATGCCTCATTAGCCGATAAACCCTAGACTAATGACTCGATAACTCCAATGATCCAATTGCTGAATCAATTGATGCCTGTGATAGTTTCTAAAAGTAAAAGAAGTGTTTTGTAAAACATTGTTTTTTTTATTCACGTATTGGATCTCACAAAAGTAAAATGACCCAATTAATAATCCATTATTTTTGTTCTTTTGAGACCTTTAGAAACCATTTTTTTCTTCTTTTAAAAATCTTAGAACTAAAAAACTTTTATTCTTCACGTTTCAAATTTTTTTGTTGAGTTCTTTCCAAATGGGTTCAAAAAAAGACAGTCGTTTGCGGGGAGAACCAAAAAGGAGTTTCGCTTCCATTCCAAAAACTGTTTAAAAACAAAAATTTTATTTTTTTCCTTTATTTTTTATTGTTAWTGTATTTTTATGATGGGATCGCAGTTTAGATCTATGCCAAGGTTTCAAACGGAAAGAAATAGGATCTTTATCTGAATACCGTCTGTTAACCAGTTATTTGGAAATTCTTTTTATGATAATTGAATACCATTATAGGTGCATTTAATATGTATTTCTCTATTCAATTCCTTCAAATCCTCATTCCACTCGGGGAATTGAAATAATAACATACGACTGAGATTTTTAGCTATTATCAATGAAAACAATACAATATATTTTCTAAGAGTTAATTGGGTTATTAACATAAAACCTCTTATTGCTTGCGTAAATATAAAAGTATCCCAGGCTTCTGCTATTCTTATCCATTTGTTCTCCTCTTTTTTCTCTTTCTTTCTTTTTTCTTTTGCCTTTCTTTCTCTACAGAATCTAAAATTGTGAATTCCGTATTTTTCTCTATCCAATTCCTCAGCATAATCTTCAGACAGAAGAAGATTATGTAAACACTTACTCGAAATCTCACTTATTAGATTCCATTGTGGAAGATACCATTTTTTCTGAGGAATTGGCCATGATATATCTGATCCATGCATAATATCATGAAAAATGGATACAAATTTGTGACTDCTACTTAGTATCGGCAATAGGTCTRAAAAAGTATCTAAAAGGGTGAAATTTAGATATTTGCACCCTGTCGAAGTAAGGAACCATGGCATATATGTTTGGAACATATTCCATTTTGAGCACACATTATGGGTTTCTAGTCGAATTGAACTATTTTCGAAAATGGGTCAACACAAATGATAAAACAGGTTTTACATTTTAAATTTTCATTAATTTTTTTTATTTTTATATCATGGGAGCTATGCACAATAAAGGTCTAGACTCATACAAATTATAAATTTTAACAATATTACACAAATTAATTAAAATGCATTAATATAAAGTTATCTAATAAAATAAAAAGAACAAACAAAACAAAATACAACACTAGAACATGGGTTCTATTTGCAATATATCAAACCCATCTTAAAATCATAATATTATTAAAACTATCAATTAATATTTTTTTGTATTTAAATTTCTTATTTTATTAGTGTTTATTAAGTTTGATTTTTATGTAGAACTGATGTTTTTAATTTTTACTAATTTTTGTTAACATTGTTACATTTAAGTGGAAGTTTAGTAGATTTTTAAATTACTATTTTTTAAAATAGTATTTTTATTTTTATTGTTTTATGTTTGATTGTTTAACCTCAACCAATTTATATTATTTGACTTATTAATATTTAGTTTATTTTATTGTACTAGTATGGACCCATGCAATGCACAAGATTTATCAAGGGAAGTAAAATAACCAAAACATATAAGTAAGGAAAGAATGCAATGTTGTTTAAAATAATTAAATCTTTATTTTCATAATTTGTTATAAAAAAGGTTTTACTAATTTAGTAATCTAGTATTTTGATTAATTATATTGATATTTTTCTAACAAAAATAATAATTTATTGTTAATTTATTAATAAAATAATTATTTTATCCATATTATTTCTCAGTGTTCTATTTTATTTATTTTACCTTATTAATGATTAATGTTTCGATTTTTTGCAAATATCACTTAAATTTTAGTAAATATGAAAATTTAGGCTATAATCATATTTAAATTAATCTAATCTCAAAGTCAAGGTTTAAGACTTTGGATTAAGCATGCATTGATTCCCATCCTGACCTAACCCACACAATTTGCACGCATTATAATTAACATTCGTAATTGGGCTAAACTAAACCGAGTGCAACCCATGCATGCCTTATTTTTTATTTTTTAAACTATTTAGATAATATAGAAGACAAATGATCTATGAGGGATGGGATAACCCATTGTGTAGCCTAATAAACCAAAAAATTAAAAATTTAGCGTCACTTGGCTTAGCCCAGCCCAACAACTTAAGTGTAATAAGATTTGCTTGGGCCTATAGGCTTGCCTGTGTTAATTATAAAACTATGGTTTTTTTTTTACAATTTAAAATTTTTATTTAATCCTAGTTTAGGATAAAAATATACATACCATTGCTATATATTAATATAATTTTTTTATCTAAATATTATATAATAACATTTACCATATATGC